TCTTTGATCGTATCACACACATCGAAAACTATAGACTTGTGTCTCCACTTAAACATGATAAAATATCGCTAGGTGAGACCAAGTTTTGCCGCCGTTAACATTTATCAAGGTTAAGTTTTTTACTTGATAGACTTGATGTGTCCAGGGTAAATAGAATATTAAAAAAATAACTCTTGAAGAGCGCACCATTGGAATTTACAACAAATAAATTTAATCACAAACAACACATTAAATTATCAAAAAAAAACGTATTTCAAAAATTTTCTGGCGATCCACATACGTCCAAAAAAAAGCGATGCCGGGGGTCTTTTGCCTCTTTCGGTGGAAATTCGCTCGGTATACGAAGACGACGACGATTCCCGCGTTTCGACGAAATTTCAAAGCAAACGTAATCGGCCATATTGGATTAGATGATTCCCGCGCAAACACGAAATTTGCATAAATTCGTCGGCCTCGAAATCGCATAAAACTGCAAGTTCGTCAGATTTCGAGGGACGAGTGGAAAAACCGAATTTGCGCGATTATCCTACCGGCTGCGCCGTGGCGTCGTGAGATGAAATAGGGTCGCAGAAGCCATCTCAAAGGTGCGAAAACTTTCGTGCCGAAAGTGTAAAGAAACTAACGTTGAGTACCGGATTTCACGCATTATTATTGATGCATTTATAGTTTTTCGGAATCAGGATGTAACATTGTACCACGTTCCAAGTTCTATTTTTTGATACATGCTAATGCGTTCTTCAAAGATTACCTAATTAAACATTGTCCGTTTTTTATATTTCGAGAATATTATATTCCGAGGCAATACTGATGAAACATAATTTTTCTTCTTACATTTTTAAAATTTTCACAACGCTGCTGACTACGGCAAGCATGTCGTGTCGCCGAACAAGTCGGCGCGCTCCTGCAGTGCAGCTGCACGTCCTCGCCGTAGAGTCGACCCTTAGTCGTAATTTTCCTTTAAATTAATATTTACGGAGGTTCGAGTTTGTCGCGGCGGGTAAATGATCCAAGTTATCCAACTTTCGGGCGGATTAACTCGACTTCCTAGTTCGAACGCCTATACTTCCAACCACACCCAACTTCTCCCGTTTTGGTGCTTATTGGTTACTGGAACATTCGGTATAGCATTTGCTCTCGGCGAAATCAGCGAAACAACTCTTGGAGCTGCCACGGACTATTCTGAGTCAATCATTTTTTACCACAACCACAACTGTATTTTTTGCCAACTCGTCGCTAAGCGGCTCCACTGCGACTCATATAGATTTTTCCTTTTCCGTCGTCTCAGTCTTCCCCTCCGATCCCCCGGATATATATAGGAATTCCCCTCGCCTTTTATACGTGACATCTACATTACATTTAGAGATTAAAGTTTCCTCGGAGTCGCGACGTCTGACGGCATCGTTCCGGACAAAGGGCGCGCCCGTCGGCGCCGCGACGCCCTAAGTGACGCGAGACGACTGCACGCGGTCGTTTAGGAAATTGTTTCGTCAGAGAATTCGGCGAAGACATCCCCGCCTATTCGGGAAAAAATACGACCTCTAGGGATTACCCACCGCTACGAAAAAAAAAATTGGCGCTGTAGACCAAAAAACCAAAAAATAGAATCTAAGAACAGGAACAGCGTTTAGTCGTTTAGTGTATCCTTCATATCCTATTGAAGTTCTGTGCCAGGGACTTTGAGAGGAACGAAAAGACAAAGCTTCCGTTAGAGATATAGGACCAGGAACACTTCGAGACGAGAAAACATCACTACGACATTATGTTGATCATAACGAAGCCTAACTTGAACAACTGTGATAGGGATGTATCTACAGACACTGGAAGTTCAAAAACCGCAAAAAGGGAACTGACCCAGAATTAAGAATATGCCTTCTCGCAGGGAAATAGAACAACGAGAAGGACGAACGATTCGTTCAGCAACGAACTGGACGTGCATCTACTGTTCTCTATTTACGCCATTTATTTCCACGAGGCAAGTCATTGGACGTCCGCATGAGGTAGGTATTGAAATAGATGCCGCAATTTCTTTATGTAGGATCGAACGTCATTGTACCGATCAATGTTTGGTGCCCTACGGCCTGCGCCCGATAAACTGATCGACCTCACGACGTCTTCACAGGCATTTATGGGCACATTCTCTCCGGTATCCCAGACGTCTTGTGACTATTAAAAGTATAATTTAGGACAATGAGGCCATTTAGGCCAATACAGGTCGACGAACGGATAAATCTCTTATCCCCCAACAAGTCGGTCTCTCTAGGGAATGAGGAAAATTGCAGGACCACTTACAACTTGTAAAGAAATATGGCGAGGTGGGGTCTTTCATGTGTGGCGGTAATGAATGTTGGACGATAGAGATATTTTATTTTCAATTTATTAGGAAGAGCATGCAATGAATATTCTCACGCACTCAACTCTAAAACTAAGTCAGAATTTTATTTCTCTCGTAATCCTAAGGTGAATATTAGACCGTACCGCTGTTACTATTCACGCACTTTTCAGTCTTCATTTAGAAGGGTTCTTTTGGTATTTCTCCTGGCGTAAAGTGAAAGAGGAATGTTGAACGATCAAGAGGGGCTCAAATTAATAATTACAGTTCATTTCAACAGCTGCATTTCTCACTTTCAGTTACGCAAATTCAGCGTCGATTCTCTTTCTTGCCAGGCACCACCAAATCATTTCAACCTTCCGCTTTGCCATACGGAGCCGGAGGAAACTCCTTTGTACGTTGTTTTAACGAACCGAGATCGGCTAGCGATTTTCAAAGGAATTTCATCCACGGGATAAATCTGTTCGCCTTTTTAAATAACGCCGCGCATCTTTTGGCAAAAACTTTTATCCGGAGAAGGTTTGGTCTTTTCCTTGTCTTCCACGTATACCGCATTATTTTCGACTTATGAGTTTGGGCGGATGCGGCCGAACACTTAGGCGGAATAGCCGACATTTTGAGCGACCTCTTAATAAAACCGACTAAGGCGATGAAAAAAGTCATAGTTAAAAACACACATTTCCCAATGACATTTTCTTTTTATTTTGATAATAAAGTATATTCTATTGCATATTACACTGTTTTTTTTAATATAGTCACAAATAAGTAAACGGTCAAATCATAACCACAAAGGTCATTGCATATAATGCTTTAGGATTAACCTACTCCTCTTTCCTCCAACTCCAAACCCTTAGCCCAAATTTTAATTCGGCTCTTCGGATTTCGGGATTTGCTACGAGGGCGTCCGGCGTTAAGGGGGATTAAGGGGCGGATTGTCCCTAAAACGACGCCATTTCGGACACTAAATGAATACGTAATGATACAATAAAACCCGTAACGTTCGCTCGGGTGCACATTATACAAGGTGTTTCTAGATTCCATTAGGATATTTTGAGAACGGACGTCTCAACATTCCCGACCCAAATTCACGCGATTTTGTTCGGCAGAAAACGCGGTCCCTCACCATAACATAAATAAAATAAAAAGTAAATCCATATTATCATTCCGATAATCATTTCCAAACATGATTAATATCTGAATATCTGAAACAATTATTTTAACCTCTGTCCCGTTCATTCATGTCAACCACAGTGTATTCCTCAAGCAATGTCATCCACCAAACAATTCCTGATGGCATATCAAAACAAACACAATCCTGAGATAAATAATTTATTGTCAATTATTGTTAACATATAATTAAAAATTAGACTTAAAAAAACACAATCAAAATTAAACAAATGTTGTTTGTTGTTTTAGAGTATTTTGAACTCCTTGCGCACATGCGAGTTTCACTTGACAAAATGAGTTAGTTCAGGGCTTCCCTACGCGGCATAATAAAAAAGAGGAGCGTTTTAAAAACCAATTTGGAAAAGATCAAGCTTCGGTCACCATAGCAGAAGGTATTCTTAATTTTTCTGTGCAATGAAAAAAACAAGCTCCGAGTTTCTCCTTTTTAATATAAAGACCAAATAAGTCAACATGAAGGTGCGTAAAAAGCAACTTATTTAATGCGACTACGGGGATTTCAATTCCAACAAGATAACCACTTTGGTTTTCAGATAAAAATACAAATAAATCGAATAAAAGCTGGTTATGTTTTCATTATAGTTTTTATTTTTATTCTTATCATTTTCAGTTTGTTTTCTATCAAAAACTATCCTAAGCTCATTCGCCAAGTTCCTGTCGTTGAATTACATGCAACGGCACTATCTTCTGCATGCAAAAATAGAGAAAAACATCCCTGTCAGGTTTTCGAGTGTTTCCCGAACTCCGATAAACATTGCTTTTCCATTTTTTCGATATCCACGACAATTTATGGCTTGTCCTTAATCTAAAAAAATAAGACGAAGTTAATAACCGTTTCAAAGCTGACACTCGTTTTCCAGTCTTACCCGAGCCCAGAACATTATCTTCAGTTTCTTTAAAACCCTTCATAATAATCGTTTTTCCATACAACAAACGTGTGCGGTAATTTTTAAAAATGTTTCAGAACATAATAACGCCCCACGCCCACGCGGCCCCGATTGCAAATCACTTTTCTGTAGACGGCGAAAATAAAGAGAGATATATTCATAACGATTATCAATCCGATCTCCCGTTATTCGACAGGACGCTTTTTACTTATTCCCGTCCTCTCGATCCGATCGCGCTTTAAAAAGCTTTTACGTGGAGCATTTTAAATACAACCCCGCACAAAATAACCCGCGTTTGATGAATATTCCAGCACCGCTTTCCATCGCTTCCTACGACGAACACACACGTTAAAACCCCTAAAATTTAACTCGATACCTCGCGAAATTGGCTACTCGGCGTTTGTGTATTTTCGATAAAAATGCAAATTTCTCCGCCAACGCCACCGCGCGCCACGGCCTCAAAAACCCGCAATTTAAATTTATTGTCGCGAATAACCGCAGTCCGTCGTCGTCGCGTAGAAAAACACGGCAAGTAGCAAACTGTAAACAAACCGGAGCATAGAATTCGAGGTTAGGCCGTGAAGATCGGCAGCGTTTACCTGATTTCGAACGTTGATGATCAGCTGACAGTCCGTGTTGAGACGCAGAAAACAAGTGCAGACCACAAACAGTGTGCGATACGGTTCAAAAGCTCGCTTCGGCGACATTGTTTGCGAAACACAACGTTCGCGACGAATTAAGCGGTTTACGTCACACACCAAACTTGACTTCGCCGAAACTGAAACCGACGCGGCTCCAGAGTTTCGATAGAATGTTGATCGCGCGCGGTCGGCGTTGCCGCTTTGCACGAAGTCGTCAGTTCCTCGTAAGCCATAAAAGGGCGCATGGGATTTTATAATTTGTGAAGTAACGTAATCAGTGCGATTTTCATTTGGCATCTTAAGGCAAGAACACAGATTGGTTCATCGACAGCAGGCACTTCACTAGTAACAAATACGTAGCAGATTATCGCGGCTGGTGATGGCAACGTTGCGAATTCGTTTCGCTTGTCGGCCATGTGGATATCGATTCGTGTCCGTTCGTTACATGTCGGGAACTAATTTGAACAAGGCGAAAATGCCATAAATTTAATAATTATCTTCCCCGCGGTTCTCTCCCTTGCCGTTTCGACAAATTTTTAAGTTTGTCTCCGTCAGCGCGCGAACCTTTTTATTGTGGTTTCGAGCAAAGAAATTTCAAATAACCCGAAAATTTTGCAGAAAGTCGCGCGTGTCAGTCGTGGTGGTACGATCAGAATGTAAGTTCAATAAAATTGTTTGATTGCACGCGTAATAAATAGGGTGGTTCTTAACTAACCAAAATTCAGGAAGCGATTTCTTGAGTGATTAGAAATAAGCGGTTACGAAGATTAATTATTAATCATGGTGGCACTTTTTTAAAACAAGCTGTTCTTTTCTTTTGTTTGAAGGAACAATTCTTACAATAACCAAAATCTGATTGAATGATTATTTTGTATTTCCAACGGCTGTTCGCGGTAGAAGCTGGGAAATAAAGCTAAGTTTTATGTAACTTTAATCAAGTTTAAACACAATTACCACACTACGCATTCGAAAAAGAACCAATAGTTCCACGTTTGTGAATGATTTGATAAAGCTGAAAAAATAGGTTTAAGAGAAGTCCAACAATTTAATAAAAGTTTTGTATTATGATCTATTTCTCGAATTTCTTTATTTAGAGAGCGGCATTTCAACGATGTGTGATCGCAATATTTCTAATTACGTTAAATACAACTCTGGAAATAGTTGACTGAGATGTATTAAAAGGTGTAACAAACGATCCAGAATAGAAGCGCTCTGAAAATGTTAATTATTGAAGACAATGTTTGGTTGGTTTGGTATTCTTAGACATTCTTTTTTTTTAATGCCTAGTCATTTAAGTTATTAAACAAATCATTAAGTGCCCTTATTTATTAAAAATTAAAATGAAAATAAACGCGTCTAATGTCCAGGACTGACGGCCAGTAGATGCATGTCCATAACGTTGGTGCCGGTATGACCGACCTTTACCAAAAACCGACCACCGTCAAACGCTGAATAAAACCCGTGCGAGTCGTTATTTTCCAGATAATCCCGGGGGTTGATATCCTGCCGGGAACAATCAGCCACCATGCCGCCGTAGGCGGCGGCACCCGCCGCCTCCGTCGGCCCGTCGATCCCGTCAGTGCCGCCGCTAAGAAACGAAACGTCGGCCGTTTCTGCATTATTAAGCGCGATCGAGAAGGCGAGGGCTAATTGTTGGTTCCTGCCCCCCGTGCCGCCCCCGGTCACCACCACAGTCGTCTCGCCTGCAACATAGAAATTAATTACCGCCCCGACGAGACTGAGATTTTAATAAAAGTGTTATTTTTGGGGGGCGGCGACCGTCGTAATGGCATCGGAGATCCCGTCGCCCCTGACCCCCCTCCCCGCTTGACGGGCTAATTATTTCGGGTTTGATGGAGTTGCGGGATTATATCCCCTCCCGGATGAGGAACTACTTACGAGTTTTTAATTAATTTTCGACCCGCCGAAAGCAATTTTATGGGAGGTGGAAGGGTTAAGGAGGCGCGCCTATATTTTTTTGTTAAATGGTCCGTTCAATGTGAAAATTGCATGAAAGGTATGTCGCAGCGACGTCGCTTTGTGGCCGTCTCGGTCCTAACATTATTTGGAAAAATGACAGGACGCGTAATTTCTAGCGTAAATGGAATATCAAAAAATAGTTTTGGTTAGTAAAAATGTATCCGAAAATATCCTCTTCAGAAGATATAGCTCCGAAAAAACGACCCCGAAAAATCGTTACTTTTATTACTTCTATTTTTACTTTTCTTTTATTTAGTAGTTGGTTTTGAAACAAGCATTATTTCCTGATATCAGCATTGATTGCTAAAACCTAAACTTTTTCTGACGCTTTTTTATGAAAATTGATTAAAAAATATCGTTTTTGTGCAAAAAATTAAAAATATACCTACAAAGAAAAAATTTCGAGGCATAATCACCCCCTCTAGCGATATTTCTGTAACAAAGCTATTGTAAAAATTTCGTTTGGGTGTCTTCAGAAATATTTGAAAAAAAGGATTTGTTTGGCTCATTTTGCCAAAAAACATGCGTCAAGGCTCGGCTGCAGAATCAACAATCAACAGAAACGGAAAAAAAGTTTATATAAACGTAGGTTCGGAATTAGCCACTGTAGAGGTTTATGATCCGTGTAAATAATGAATTTTTGTCCGAATAAATAAGGTCTATAATATTTACAGTTCCAAACAATTGGCTAAGAGTTCCTTTTCAATTGTCGAGTAGTTTATCTCTGTCGGGTTCAGCGTTCTTGATGCGTAGCATGTTGGGTGTCCGTCTTGGTATAAAATTCCTGAGATGCCATATTTTGATGCGTTGGTTGTTAATTCAAACCTCTTTGTAAAGTCCGGATAAGATAATACTGGCTCCGAACGGTCCAGCAGTTTCAGTCAAGCTCTGAAGAAGCCAACAGGATGATTGGCGAAACATCAGCAATTTCGACTAAGCAAAAACCGACGCAGGAGGAACCCAGAAGTTTTGTAAAAAGCATTGCAGTAGCCTGTGGAAGTTTCTTTGAAAAATTTGTAGTGTTTTGTTGGAAGTTGGGTATTTGGAATTGTTTTGACTTTGTGTTGCTTCTATTCCCGTAGAGGTTTTCGAACTTTTCAAATTCAGAGACATAAGCAATGGCTTCCTCTAAAGATCTGGTTGTTTTAAATGCATTTTGTTTTCTGAATTACTAATCCGCTGTACTACTCTTTAAAAGTTGCAGCCTACCACCGAAATCAACTAAATGTTGTTTTTTGAACGGTCTTGTTCTAGTTAATTCCTGAATTAGACAATGTGTCAATTCTGATCGGTTGCCTACCACTAATTCTGCTTTCGCTACTAGTTTGTCTATGATGCAATCGAAGATATGGCTCTTTAGTTCCGCATCTAACAAACTAACGGAGGAATTTATTAATCTTTCGCACTTAGCAATGAATTTCTTTAGCGGGTCGCTATTTCCGTCGTAAGGTTTCATGTTATCTACCTTAGATTTAAATAGATTCTAATTAAATCTAGGTTAGGCACTACTCTTACTACTTGAGCTTCCTTGTTGGGTCATTATTTTCATTCTTGTTTTTTTTTGCTTCCTAACTTTTGAATTGAATTCATTTTCGATTTCAGAATCACTCATTTACGATTTTTTTTTAACCTAATTAAACATTAAGCATTAAACTATCCCTTCAAGTGACCTCATACAGAGGTATCGTCACATGCGGGTTGTTCCTTTACATAGACCGTCCTTCTGCTTCCCTTGCTGCTGGTTCTGTGTGCTGAAGGATTTGAAAATCCACGTAACGAATGTCCAAAAGTTTCGTACTCTCCACGATTGGCGATTTCACAGAAACTCTCGGAAGATTCTGGTTAATTGTTCGTCATTTAGAAAATATGACTGCGCCACTTAAATGTTCAAAATTCGAGAGAGCGTTTTTAAAAACATTTATTTATACAGAAAGCAAAATAAAGTCTTATTTGGACTAGCTGATACAAAGGCTGGAATAATTAAGACATTTTTACAATGTGACAATCGAATAAATAGGGCTTTCGATGCGGTGTCAGCGAGGAGTTATCTTTGCTTACATTTGGGCTTCGTCTGACTTTTTTACAATTTTTGTTATTTACTTTGAATAAACCAGTAAAAATACAATTTTTGACTGGGTTTCGTATCATGCCTCGAATAAAAAGGAAGGAGAAAATTTACAACAAAACACATAGTTATGAACATTTTTTTTGGGCCCTTTGAAATGAACTGAAAATGATGAAAGTAAGGATTGTAAGGATTTTCGCATACTGTTACAAATGCCTTTAAAAAAACACCCTGGATAAAGGTCGTAAAGTAGCGAATAACTTACTGGGCGCCCTGTATACAACTCCGCCCCTTTTTCCGGTATTATTATTAACGAGCGCTGTATACAGGGATTTATAATATCGTCTTCACGAAGATAAATTGAAGCAGTTACAAAGGCGGCTCTGTCGGCCGACTTTTCGCAAATAATGAAATTATACGGGGAATAAACTGGAAAAGAGTTAAAGTCGAGTCGGATTGAGACGTAGTTCGGATTAAAGCCTTCGGGCTGCGATGGTGCGGGGTGGCGCGGGACGAATAGAATGACGGAGCATTTTGTTTTAGGACGTCAATTCGAAGCTCAGGATTTCATCCGCGTCGATAAAATTAAACAAGTCACTGCGCGTATTAAAATTTAACGGAACTGGATATTTCTTTATACCAAAAATAACAAAATCGCCAAGTATTTAGACAGCCAGCAAGAGTGACCTACGAAATTTTACCAAGGTAGCTATATTTGATAGAAATTAATATAAAACGAAACAATATTTGAATGCCTGTCCTTTTTACCCCTATAATAAAGTGTGCAGATACTATATAGAAGGCAAAATAATAGCTTCAAACTGTATCACATTTTTTTGATGTTCCATATTGACATAGAATATAGCAAAAAGGCACAACGCACCTCTTGAACCGTTTTGCCCGAACTCCTTTTAAACAAACCTTTTAATATTTTCAGATGGTTAGTAACTATAAAAGAAAGACCGAGAGGCAAAAAATGGTACGAAGAATCAATGAAACAAGCAATAATTAAAATTGCGATAAGGCTGTGGGATTTACTTTCAATTTTAACTTTAAATAGCAGAACTTGTGGGAAAGGCTTTTGAAAAAGCAGCTCAATACCTACTGCGCATAACTCGTTTCACGCAACTGATCCCACTATATTTACTGAAGCCGATTTCTTGGCAACAGACCCTACCGATATTCCCGACAATAACCAGGCAGAAGAAAATACGAAGTAATCTCAGCCACTTTGTTCAAAGCCACTAATTAATTTAGGCGTCGGCGTCGCTTAAAAATCTGGGCCTGACCACGATTTACCCAGAGATTCGCTTGCACTCCAGACTTTTTAAATAAAAGCGTTATCGTTTCGCCTGAACAGATCATGCCGGTACCAAAAACGTAACGAGCAGAAAGAATGACCAGAAAAAGAGGTATAACCGCTATAATAACATCGTCGTCGTATCAAAAGGAATTGCAAATATCGCAAGTAAACGTTCAACAAGTCAAACGAAAAATCGTTTTTCACAATGCAGGCAGAAATATGATAAAAATAGAAAAAAAAAGAAGACTAAGAAGTTTTTCGAGTCGTCTCCTAGTAAAGAATAAGACGAGGAGTGTATTTGTATTCAACGTCAAGGGAAGGCTGGATCCAGTGTCTTACATGAAAACGTTGGGCTCACTGTTCCTGTGCTGACGCTGAAGATGAAGACGAAAAAGCGGTTTTTACTTGAGAAACATGCAAGGATTATATGTTTTGTATTGAGGTCCATTATACGGGTGCGGGTGCCGTTGTACCTTCCTATGACTGCAAAATGGACCAAATGAAGTTTTATGATTTATTTTTTTAAATAAACCGTACTTGTTTATGTTCATTTATGTTTAATAGGGTACTGAAAGGAAACAAGTGTCAAAAGTGTTGTTCATCTTTTTTATCCTGGCCATAACTTTAAGAATACCATTTTGCCTTCTGTTACCCTACTCTTCATTTTATTGTTATTATTTCAGTTTTTTATTTATATTTTCGCATTCTACCGAACTGATTTATATATACATGCAGGTTACTGCAGATTGGCGTTTTCGCGAAAGATGAAAGAATTTTTTACGCTTACGCTTTCTTGATTTTTAATTATTAGGTGTTAATCATCTATTGCGGCACACTCCCAAGAATTCACTCCCCTATCAGACTCAACTTTCGTTAAAAGTCCGTTATTTTATGAGAAAGTAAGTTCAGATCCTCAAGCCTGAGGGTTGCGGAATCCAGTTTTGAGTACTTCATTTTTCCAACCGCCGGGTATCTGCACAAAATGTGCTCTGACGTTTCCTCATCTTCCAAGCACAACCGGCACTCGTCATCTTGGGGTTGCACATTACATTGCTAATAGGGTTGTGTGTTTCTTCACAGGGCATTTTTAGAATCGGCCATGCTTTGACTGTATTCCTTGTTGATTGCTGTGATATAGCCAACATCAGCTGGAGAAATATTCTGCTCATTTCCTCTTTAGGAGGTTCCTAATATGAGACCGATTGATACTTCCGTCTTTTGCTGTTCCCCAAAAATGGTAACCCCAACGTCTTCATGCATTTCGGAGCAATCAATGTACGAGTAACGTCCCAGTGCTATGCGTTCTTACACGGCGCAACACATAGGTCGATTTTGAAAATTATTTCAAATTGATTGATGTTTTATTGATTTTAAGTAATAAATAAAGTAGATAAACTATCTTTGATTGTTTCCGCCTTTGGTCAGTGTTTCAAGCAAAGACTGCCTTTTTTACGTCGCGGTTACTACCAATTTGCAATAAACCCGCCTCGGCGACGACTACTTACCGGCGAACACGAAAAGCATCTTCCGCGAAAAATCCCACCTTAACACGCGTTCCACCGCTCCCTCTTCCGTTTTCCACGGCAACCTCGTCAGAAACCCCTCCAGATCAGTTTTGGCCGCGTCCGCCGTCGCCGCCTCCATCACTTTGCGTGCCAGAGTCGCGTACAATTTGGCTACGTCATCGACGGTCCCTTCGACGCGATTAGAGACGACGACCGCCTGAAATCCCGAACAGGCGGCGGCTTTGACCGCCGCGGCGGACGCTATCGCGTTGTTGCCAATAACAAAGTTGGTCACGTGAGGGAATCGCGTGACCGGCTCCTCGCCAAATTGATTCAGCAGCGCCGACTTGACGCGGTCGGACGTCGTGGCGTATAGAGAGTACTTTTCCAGTATCTGGAAAACCGATCTCGGATTCAATTAAACGGTTAAACGGATAGACAGAGTGACGCTATCTAGTAGAGTAGCCGTTTCGGGATTAAAAGACACGAAACAGTGAGGACGTGATGAATTTTTTTTCCACAATTCTCTGTTTCTTTTCAAACGCTATAACCAAAATTTACAGAATTAAAATATAAGTTTCTGCACTCTCTGTTCGATCTTTGATGTGTTGAGATATAAGCGGGCCGCGGCCGCTTCCCTTCCACGTGCAGCCGTTCGTTATTCTACGGGGTTACGAGGGATTGTATATTTGTTCCGCGCGTAGCATATCTATACAGGGTGGAGGAAAGATTAAACGTGGTAAAATAATTGTTACCATTTTTTTAAATTTTATTTTTAACGCAGTGGAACGGAATAAGCTGGTATTTAATACACAGCTCTGATTTAGTAAAAGTCATCGTTACAAAATATAAGTTTTCAGAAATCTCTCACTAGAGGGCACTTTACGTGGAACATTTTTTTATTTTCTCTGTATTTTATTTATTTAGACTGATATTGCAAAATATCGTTTATCGTTCAGCCACAAATAGATTTTTTATTCGCTCGAATTTTTCCTGTAAATGTGAACAGGGTTTAATGAAATTTGAAAACGTCATTGCCACAATCCGTTAAAAATTTGTTTCTAAGAAAAGAGCCTAATTATCCAATTGCTACTGTGATGTACCATCAAGAATATTCAAATACTGAATATTGCGATATGCACTTTAGCTACGGAAGAGCAAATGGAAATGCAGATCAAGCATGACGGCTTTATATCGACGCTTATCCCAATAGAAACGTCACATCTGCTAAGCCTTTCATCAACATACACACAAGACTTGGTGAAAGAGGATCATATGAATAATGATCATATGAATAATACTTCAAAATGTGAAGGCGAGCCCGTCAACGAGTACTAGAAAACTTGCAGCTCAGGAAAGAATTGCTTATTCCACAGTTTGGGAAGTTTTGCATGAAAATGACCTTCGGCACTTTCATGTTCAACGGGTTCAAGCACTGTATGAGGGTGATGAGCAATTGAGAGTAATTTTGTGCAATCATATTTTAGGAAAAATTCAAAGTTAGCCGCAATTCTTAAAAGCCATTTTGCAACATTGAAGGAAAACATCAGCACTAGTTTTCTTTAAATCTATGGGCAGGGATTATAGGAGATAATCGTATGGGATCTCATTTCTTTAACGGCTCGCTTAATGAGGAAATGTATTTGCAATTTCCCCAATTTCTCCCTTGCATTTTTTAAAATGTATAAGAAAATGTTTAGGTGGGCATTTTGAAAATGAATTGTAATTAGCGTTGTGTACTGTTTAGTTCTCGATTATTATTTATAATTTTTTATTTTCGATAACGTTAAATGTATTTATGTTACTTCAATTTAACATGTTATTGCATTGATTTAACCCATTTTTTTACTTTTTTAATTTGTAGCATACTGTTTTGAAAAATTTATTGCACGTCGTCTACAGGTTAATAAATATGGCCTCCATTTCCACTTGCTTTTCCGTAACAACAATGCATACCGCGATATCCAGTATCACCTTTCTCTAAATTAGAACTGCGGCGTATTCGGGCCGAGAATTAAAAAGTCGATTTGTGACTAAACGATAACACTCATCGACTCAAAACAAGAGTCACAATTTGCGATTTTGCTTAAAGCAATCCGTTCTATTTTGCAATATCAGTCTAAATAAATAAAATACAGGGAAAATAAAAACAAATGTTCTAGGTACAGTGCCCTCTAGTGACAAATTTCTGAAACACTGATACGATGACTTTTACTAAGTCAAGCTTATGCTGATGAGAATTAAGCGCACTGCCTTAAAAATAAAATTTAAAAAAATGAATTTTGACAATCTGTAACTAGGAAATAATTACGATTTCCAATTTTTGTTAGATGACTTACTACTATTATTTGACCACGTTGAATCTTTCCTTCAAGTTTCCGAACTCAATTTCCGGACACCCTGAATACGCGGGTTTCCAAAACTATGATATGTTTATTAATAAATAATATGGTGCCCTTAATAAAGTTATTTTTATTTTTACCTAGTTTAAAATTAAAATTTTTTAAACCAATTTACGAGTTACGCTTTTGAGACAAAAATATTCAATATTCAAATGTATTTTCATAACACTTAATGTAATTATGCTCTTCCACAAAGTGTAATAACTCCTCTAAAAAAGAAGTGATTAAGCTGAACGAAAAATTGAACCAATAAGAAAGAACAATGCTTGAAGGATTTGACAATAAAACATTTCTATTCTTCAGTCAGTTTTTCTGGATGTAACGGTGTTTCGACATACACTTGAGGATTAGCTTCGCTCCAAATGCGGCAGTTTTGTTTGGTGACATAGCCATTCAACCAGAAGTGCGCTTCATCGCTAAATAAAATTCGCTTATGAAAATCGGGAACCACGGCAATCTCGTTTTGGGCCCATTCGACGAATCTACGCCTTACTTGATGAATTCATGATGAATTGCCAAACCAAACTGAGAATAAATCACGTGACAACTGTTAAATCGGTCGCCATCTTGAACAGTAATGCCAACGTAAAGTTCTATACATCGAAAAAAAACACCCATTATATGCTTTGTCAAATTCGTATTCTTTTTCCATGTTTTGTATAAGAACACTATTTATTTAAAAATTTAAAGAATAGAAATTTTCTATTGTCAAACATTTCAAGCCTTGTTCTTTTTCAATGGTTTAACTTCTTTGTTAAAGGAGTTATTAAGCTTCGTAGTAGGGTATAATTACATTAAGTATCATAAAAATAAATTTAAATAATAATTAGTTAAATAGGGGAAATACAAAGGAAAAAATTATTTTTTTTATAATTATATTATTTTTATATAAATTTATTGACAAACTTCCTTCATATCAAATAAGTACCAGTTAAAATCGTAATTAACATAATGGGTGCCCCTAAAAGAAAGCCCATTTCAATTCGCAAGTACATTATGAAATTTTCGTTTTTTTTTGCTAACCTTTAACCTATAATTTTGACATTGTCAATATTAATCTTGGAAGTGAATGAACTGAACCATAAAAAAATGAACAACTATCGCTATCTATATGTAAATACTTATTTGATTTGAACATTCTGACTGGCATCCGTGCAATGTTAATTTCAGTTTGAATGCATACATCTTTCTTAATATAAGATTTATTTTTTGTTTTCTTCGAAAACATACATATATTTATAAGTGTAATCTTAGCATCGGCACCTGAACCTGGCACCTAATTTCAAAGAAGTGACTTTGTTCTAACGTTATATTACGCTAATATAACGCCTGCAAACAAGGATGATATTGAATATACTATGAAATATAGCGGTAAGCAATAAAATCAATTGAGAAAGTGGACTACAGGACTTTACCTGGAAAGGAGAGAGAAAAAAGCTTTTAAAATAGTTTTCCCTGGCTTCATCTAATGGGCAACGAAAAAAAAAACAGTTCCTCGTTTAATTTACTGCCACAACTTTCCACTACACAATACGTCGCAGACAGTTTGCTCACTTATTTCGGTCACCGGGTAGAAGCCAGCGTAGACCAAAGTTCGCCTACTGGCAAACCTACTGCTAGATAGGCGGAAGGGGGGACAGTGCGCCAACTTATATTTTAATTCTTTACTAGTGGCGATTTTCTCTTTGTGCCGGAGCTACAAATTTAGTGTCTACGAGATAAAAAAAATAACTTGAACTTGCACCATATGTGGGTCACCGTTTGAAACTAACCACCGTATTAACTTACCCGGACAGCGTTGTCGGCTGTGGTCCGATTTGGCACAGTCGGGCCACTGGCGATGACGTCCAAAGGATCACCAACCACATCCGACAATACGAGGGACACCACCTTGGCCGGGTAAGCTATTTTGGCCAGACCACCACCTTTTAATAAAGACAATTGCTTCCTCACGGTGTTTAATTCAGCTATATCCGCTCCACTGCGACTCAAGTCTCTAACCAGAGTCAATTTCTCTTGAAGAGTCACCGGCGGTTTCGGTAGTGGCAACAAAGCAGATCCTCCACCTGAAATCCATACGGTCATTCCCATTAACCTCCCTTTAAATAATCAGGCTAGGGGCCGTCTCCAAGCTTCCGTTTCTTACGTTTACAGTTTCGAATCTAATGGTCTTTTTCATACACAAAATTTTGAAATCGGCATTTTTCAAAACGCCGAAGGAAAAGAACAGAAATATACGAAGCGCGCAAAAGAAACATACAAAAAAGGTTATAAAATTGCTATTTATTTTTTTAAATTGTTCCATGTTTTTTTCTCTGCATTTCTTTTTGCATCTAACAAATAATCATTGACAAGTTTGCTAACATTAGTACAGGTGTTGCACATCAAATGAAATAAGTTGCCTTTGTGATAGTCAACTACCGACTCGCTTTATTCGGTCTAATAAATCTTAATCCCTTTTGGTGTACTGACAAGCCAAAAAATGTTTTCTTAGCAATTTTCGACAGAATTTTAAGGTTTTCCCTAATCTAAACTTAGGTATCAACCAGCGTTATGTGGCCTCTCTACGTAGATATGCAGAATTTCGTAAAAAAATAAAATAAATAAAAAAATAAAATAATTTCAATTGTTCTTAAAAATAAGGACGGATGTCCCCAATGCGCGGGTTTGTTCTTTGAAAACAAATGTTAAGTGAATGAATTGATGCTTTTTTTTTTCCTAAAACAAAAAAATGCTTAAAATTGCTGTAATTCACTGGCAGCCATTATTTAATATCTTATGCTCCGAAGACGAGACGTCAACATTGATTCGCAAAGATTCAACATTTGGTGATTGATTCGCTAGATGATATACGCGGGCAATTAGTGTCAACAATCCGTGACAAACAACCGCTGCATATCCGATATCACTCTACCTGATATTAAAACGATTAATAAATCGTCCTCGGTTAAGCCCTCCGCTAGGTTTTTTATTTCCAAGGCCCCCCGCATCGCCGCGTCATCGGGCAAGTTGTTCCTAGCACCCTCTATGAATTCCACACGACTCTTCTCTGCCGCGCGGCTGATGAGGCCTTGTGGAATAGTTACGACCGCCCTCTGCAGATCGGGGCCGAGAATCGTTTCGATCTTCAACGCCATTCCCATAACCGCCTTGCCGAATCCCACCACGTGACACGGACGCTTCAACTCAAAAGTTTGGCCGTTGACGCACAGGTGGCGCTCTCTCAAGCCGACTTGGGTTCTAATCAACTTCTCCGGTTGAACCGATTTCACGCATTCTTCGAATATGCGTTTCAAATGAGGTATATCATCGCACATGGTCGCCGTCAATATTATTCTCAGTTTAGTAATATCGCGCCGCAACGCCCGGTGAGCGTTTAACATACTTTTACCGAGAAAACGGCGCTATAGGCGTGCTCTAAACTCGCGACCTGTCGGATACTGTTAACCTCCAAATTTAAGGTCGCTGATTAGGGTTTCGCTTTCGTTTTAGATAATTTAGCGTTACGCAAATCGCGTGCTGGACGATGCGAGACTTTGTTTTGAGTTGTATTAGAAAGTAAAGGTTAAGCAGTACGATAAGCATTAGCAGTGAGTTTTCCATGACACCTGAAAGAGCACACGTCGAAGACTAACAAAAGAAAACTTTAGGATTAATTGGGCATTTTTTCAAAGGCATGAGGTAAAAAGAACTTGAATCAAAATCTACCAGAAAAATTGTAGTCGTTCCGTTACGTCAAACGTGGCGTAAACATTAGGACCGTGAAAAAGAGTATTCAGGTGAATCTCTCAAGTGAAAAAAATCGCTGACCATAAAATGTCCGTGCCCCTTACTGACCTCCCGATTTTCTCTGGTAATTTCGAAAACGAAGACATGTTGCCGAGCAGAAACTTTTCGACTTATTTTTACGTTTTTCTCGATTCTTAATCTATAACTTTTCTTCGATCTTCAATGGCGTTGCTGTTACTGTTGCGTTGTTGCGTTCGACTAGCCGGGACCACAGAACAAAAAAAAAGTTCGCAGTTTTCGGGCGACCGACGGGGTTCTACAAGTTCTACAAGCGAATACGCACTCCCTTGCAAACAACAACACAAACAACGCAAGATCGGCGTGTAGGCATGGTTTTTGGCGATTGTTATTTTGTATGGGATAATTTAATATTTACCGAGGTATTTTAAATTTAGGTTGTTTTCATTTCGTGCGTTTTAAAAATGAGAGCCACGCGGAACATAATTTTAGTACTTACGACCTAAAATTACTTATAAGTGAGGGCTTTCGATGCGATCGTTAAGCTGGCTACACACGATGCGACAAGCCTGTCAGTTCGAACTGAACAGTCCGCCTAAAGACCAGTCGCCTGAACGTGTATATGTCAGTTAAGACTGTTCAGGCAGACACAGAACACAACTATGTTCGTTCTTCCGTCCGGCCTGACGTACTAGAAGCCTAGTCTGAACGTGTGTCGTTACCAAGTCGCGGTAAAGAGAAAACGCGTGTTTAAAAGATTTTATCGCGATTTATCGCAATGAGTCGTATCTATGGCAATTAAAATCGAAAAACTATCATGACTGTGCCAAGAAAGAAGCGGCGTATTTAAAATTGATAGAAAAGAAAATTGGTCCTTCTTGTACGAAGTCTACTGTTTTAAAAAATAATAATAATTTTCGAAATGAAGTAAAAAAAGTGAAGGATTCAATGAGGACGGGATCATGGGCCGATGAAGTTTACCATCTCAAACTTTGGTATTATGATTTGTTGAAGTCTGTGGAAGACCAAGAAGTCTCTTGAAACTCTCGAAGCAATATCTCGGATGACGAAGAGAGCGAAAATGAGGTGTAAGTGACAGAAACATTCAGTAGTTAGCTTGTTTGTTTATTTATTTAATAAACACACATTTTTTATAATGTAAATAAGGTAGGTAATTTTTATATTATTTGAAGAGATAGGAAAAAAAGTACCAGAGTGCCTGAGAGTCAAATTTCATGAGAAAGTCAGTGGCCCAAACAAAATTTTGCAATTTGTAATCATATGGTTGCCAGGGGTCTTTCTTAAAATTTAGTCGATTTCTTTCAATAATGGGGTGAATCTATCTTGCCAAGAAACTTTACCTTCATTCGTAAAATAACTCAGGGCATCCTTAACTTCTTTTGCTGCGTTCGCTGTATTTCCAAATGGTCTTCGTTGCAAGCTAGACACATTAGAACCTTGTGAATCCAATCCAACAACCTTCTTCCGTATCATTATAGTTAAAGTACTCTGGAGAAGTATATGTTTTTGACGACTTAGCTATCAAAAAGTCATGTAACATACACCAAGCCATTACAAAAAATTCAATATTTCACGGTTACAAATTAATGCAAGTGTGAATTATCCGAAATCTGACAGCCAATATTCCGAATATATTTGCCACAATACGCGTCTTGCTTGTGATAAAAAACGGTAGTTGAAAAGTTTTTTCTCCCTGGAAGTCCAGGCTGCCTGTCAAAAAGGTTTCATTAGGTCTATCCTTAATGGAAATGCATCATCTCCTATAAATATATATGGTAGGTTTCTGTAAGTATTCCGTATGGTTCCTTTTCCAGGAATTTTCAGGAGAGAATTTTGTAATTTTTCAAAAAATGGGGTATTTTGGAATACACCACCATCAGACACCCTGCCATTTGTTCCGAAATCGCACATTAAAATACTATAGTTTGCATCAACTAAGGCTAATAGCAACATGCTATGAAAACATTTAGACTTATAATAGTACGATCCGCTAACAGAACGATGCTCTCATGCTTTCCGTGAATGGCCCCAAGGCAGTGAGGAAACTTGCATAGTTCCTCAAAACTCTGAGAAAGTTTTCTCCAGTCTTGTTCTAGTCGTGGAAACTGAAAAAAAAAGAATATTATTTCTTGTGCATGATATAAATATGCATTAAAAATGTCTGGCGATATTTGAAAAACAAATTGTGTGTTTTTTTTTTAAATTTTTTTCATCCTTTGAATTTATGAAATACGATAAATATACGGTAATGCAGTGATAAAAACCATACACAAACTAACACAAAACTAACAAATCTTTTGTTACAAGATGAATGACAGGCCGAAACAGGAGCACACAGCCTTCAAAGTGACCTGAAATCCAAGATTCTATTGAAAAAACCTCAAGTATGGCTTCAGATTCGCAGTTTCGTCATAGACCGACGCCAAAATATCAAACACCAGGTGACCAAACACCACCAACCAACAATCACTTCAAACGGCCACGTACAGCGGATGACCGGTTTGACATTGTTGGTTAAAACGTTGCTATGAAGCTGAGAGATTTAACCAGCGATCAATGACACACTTTTTGAAGCTGAGGGTGGTACATTAACACCACATCATAAACTGATTTTTTCCGCCACCTTTGTCTAATCGTTATCATTCGTCCAGTACCTATTCTAGTCGGCCAAGCTTTCAATACTCCGCAACACCAGCACCACCGCAACAGTTGCTACCACTGAACTCCCCATCGTCAAATGAATATTATTCAAATCATTCATCCAGTTCCAATCCTAGCCGCCCAAGTTCTTAATTATCCGCAATAGCATCACCATCGCAGCAGTTGCTTCTCCAGAACTCCTAAGCTTCCACTGAACACCACTTCCAGAACAACATGTTTTTACCCTAGACAGAAAGTGTTCAAGAAATCGAACCGTCGGCATCACCTCGCCAGTACCAGACTGCTGGTTCTCTTTTAGCTTCATTCACTTATGCTGGTAACAACTGATAACTGAACTTGTTTTTGTATTTTTTGTGGAAGAAATATGATGTTTTTGTTTATGTTTAACATTCAAAAAAATATTTTCTTACCTTCATAAAATGATATTTTATATTGGCCTGAAGGTGTGGAGGGTGGTCAGACCATCAGGCGGCCGTTCTTCAGGCGGACGATTCAGTTCGAACTGACAGGCCTGCCGGATCGTGTGTAGCCGGCTGTAGTTTGCGACTGTTCGACGGAGATTTTTTGAGTGAGTGTTGCGGACGGTTTCGCGCATACACACACACGCCCACGTGGGAGGTAAAAGGAGAAGGCTACCCCGTTATTGTGAGAGTTATTGTTATTTCAGCAGGCCTTCGGTTTTACTTTCTTGTGTCGGACGACGCGAGACGGTAAGCCGGTATAACGATGTTGTCCGATAAATGAAAATTGGAAATCGCCAGTGCATATTTATTATGCGTCACTTTCACTCTTATTTGCGCGTCGCGGTCTTCCACGTTTTTAAGCGAATAGAGGGTTTAATAAAAAGATGACGGTCGCGTCGGGACGTGATCTAGTTTTGCCGATTTGTTACTTGTTGCTGATTAGTTTTGCTGGTAAGTGTCCAACCGACGGGTTAAGTGGGTTACAGGGAAACGAGAAAAACGCTGGTAATGAGGTAAATTTCTGCGATTTTTAAATGTGAAAAAGTGAGGAATTTGTGCAGGTCCAGAGTACTGTACCGAGCCTCTAGAAAAAAAAAAAAAATTATAATTTTGAATATGGAGGGAAATTGGAATTTTTTATAACTCCAAATGGTTTTAGTAAATTATTTTCCAATGTTTTCACACCAGAACACCAGCCTCTATATATAAAAACTAATGACTTAAAAAGTGGAGAAAATTCTCTGTATTTCGAAAAAAAAAAATAAAGCCTTACAAAAATTTAAGCTAATTAATATTCCGTCTTTTTTTTTATGATATGAATTTGTTAATTTGTTCAGTTGTCGGTAATCATCATAGAGCTTTAAAAAAATATAGAGATCTGTGGTAACGGTGCTTATGTTTCGTTTTTTTTTACTGAATACGACAAATATAATATAAAGATGTAAGAAAAGAAGTAACAGAATTTCTAACAAGAATTAATTTTCGATGTATTCGTTACTTCAAATTCCCTAGGCTAAATTAATAAATAATACACCGGTGCTCCGGTGAAAGTGCATAAACAAAGACTTGAACGTGTTATCCTCCGTATTTCGTAATGCCGTATCATTAAGAACGGTATAAGTATACTGCTAAGCCAATAAACAAATTCGATTAACTTTAGCTGCACTTTCAGTCGCTTTAACACGGATCTAAATAGCCATTGCATAAGTATGTGACTTTTATGGTATGTACCAACATATCCTTTGTCTTATAGCGGCCGATTATATATTGTAAGAAGGCGACGAAAAAAAGTTGTGCTTAATGTTTGTAGTGTGTAAATGTAACGTGGAAAAGACACGAAAGGAAACCGTAGTTTTATTGCAATCAATTTAAATTAATACGAAATATTGAGGCAACTGATTTCTAAAAGCGTATCCCCAAAACAATCAATAGGCGCCACATACTACGATGACGAACATTTAGCGTATTTCTGTGATCCAAGTAGGTACGCAACAAACTATACAGATGTTAATCAGCGCCATTGAATTTGCGATTAAAATTGGGCCACGGTTATTACGACACAACTATCCATTGCAGGCGTGTACGGACAAAAATCAAAGGAACGAAAAAAACCCACGTCTGTCCAAGACCTGTACAACACGACGTCCTGTATCCCGAAACCCTATAAGTGTCCCCACAAGCAGATACAATTTTTTTTGTACACCAGGTACGTAATAAAAAACCCGAAACTAAAATTTGCGCTATTAATTCAGGCAAAAGACGCGTCGTGAAAGTATCTAATTAATTGACGAAAAATTAAAGGTTACAGGGGAGGTGGGAGAAACCTGCGCCGACCTCGATTACGAAAAATAAACAGCACTCCTAGAAATTACTTTATTCGGACGGTCCGCGATTACGCCACAGAAGGTTTCGAAATTTAACTGGATTTTTGTATTTGTTTGGGACGTTTACGGGCCGTGGGTGTTAGAATAGGATATTTTGTAAGACTAGGAGTGAAATTCGAATGATAAAACGGTCAATACGGCGATTTTAACGTTATTTAGGCAAGAACGTCGAGAGGATATTTGCTAATTAGAACAAATCGTGGCGAATCTGCTTAAAGATAGTTGCTGGTGTAAATAAATAATTTATATTCGAAATGAATGGAAACTCCCGCGTTTAGACGATAGATTACAAATAAATTTAGCCAGCCAAGGAGTCATTAAATAGAGCGCCATCTCTCGGTTTGAGGCAGCTTAAATGTTGATCAAAAGTCCCAACGTGAGTGCGCACACTGCAGTCTTTCTGTTTCCTCAGATCTAAAAGTCTAATCCGGACTCATATTCCCATTAGTTAAATATGGATTCTTTAAACAAATAATTTAGTAAAAAAAATTGAAGTTGAAACCTTATATTGGCACAGAATGGTAATAATTTTAGGCGGACGCAAACCGATCCAGAGTTGCTAGACACCACCAAAGAAGAATCGTTGTACGCCAGTCGATTCAATCGGGCTTATCCTACCAAAATCGTAGTCCATGGTTTTGGCGGAGGCAGAAATCTGTCGCCGAGTACTGATATGAGGGACGCATATTTTTACAGGGGAAACTACAACATCATCATCGTCGATTACGGGTCGTTGGTTAAAGAACCGTGCATCAGCGTAAGTTGATAAAACTAATCTCTTACGGGTAGTGATGCCTGGTAAAGTCTGTTGATACATATAAGAAAGTGACTAACTGATAAGAATTAAGGAAAGACCGGGCAAGCTGTAAGCATGAAATATGGCCGAACAGGTCTGTACTTTGCTTAGAATTTAATTATTTGTGGTTTTGTTAGGAAAGATACTAAACAATATTTATTTATGTATGTATTTATGTTTAAATCTAAAATAAAATTACTAATTATTTTTATTGCCTACTTAAATTACTTAAAATTATTCACATAATATATCAGTATCACTATCGCTATCATCGCCTGTTCTAATTATTATTTGTTCTATATTATTTGCAATATGGATATACGGTTATTCTGCTATTTCTATATGTTTAACAGAATTTGCCCAACTTTGTGGAGGGATGTTAAAAACTTCGGTTTCTATAAGTTTGAGACCATTGGAGTTAACACGGGGAAAAATATTGTTACGACGAATGGCAGATTTCAGTTGGTACCAAACATGTTCAATGGGATTAAATATACAGTGGTAAGGTGGAAGGAAGCCTTAAAACTGTATGCCCTAGATTTTTTGCATAATTATCACCGACGTATTCCTTTTGTAGGTACAAGCTTTGTAGTACCTCAATTAATTGCTTTTTGGTATAATTTTCGTGAAAATAAATGTCGTTATTATACACGTAGTTTTGGATTGTTGCTTTTGTGTCACATGAGGAAGGGGTTTTAGTCAATTGTCTACTGTGATAACTTTTGATTGTTTTTAAACCAACTTTCAAATAAATCAGCGGTGGTGTCTTCATGGTAATCCAGAGAAGAATCTTTAATATTTTTCGCAGACAGAGAAAGTCCATTTGCAATCCAACCATCTTTAGAGCCAGCATGCAAAATAGTTATTCTTTTACCTCTTTTTGATGGCGCGTTTGTTTTACAACTTTTCAGGTTTCATCCAAGTAAATAATTGGACTTTGTTGTTCTCTGTAAATCCTAATTTTTTCTAGATAGGTATTTCAGTCGCCATTTCCGAATTCTAAAAGATTCCATTAAAACTTGCCTTTTGTCAGTTTTTTTAAATCTAAAACCCATGTGTTAATACATTTCCATAAAGTAGTTCTGCCACATTTAACACCGGTTTCATCTTTATCAAACCTCCTAATTAAGATATCTAATGTAGGCACGCTTTGTTCCTCGTGTAACTGGTAAATTTTACGCCGTATTATATCTTGATCACTTTCATCTACACTCGAGAAAATGTCAGCATCGCTTCTTTTTTTCCTCGCTGAAATAGGAATTCACAATTTTACATTCAGTTGATGTTGGAATTTTCGTCAATGTGGCCGTTTCTTCTAAAGGTGCTTACTTGCTAGCACCGAGTTCAATGAGAGTCAAATAAACATTGTCGATAACTTCCTTAGTCTCAGTTTTCTACATTTGGGCGGGAGCATCTCCTGAGATACACTAATTCGCACACGATTCAACACACGCTGTATTACACACGAATGATTACTAATAAACAAACTAAGCAGTATACCAAATCAAACAATATTGACCACAGGTAGGTATAATATTATTTTCTATTACGGATCACAATTTTACCTGAATTTGAATTCCGAAGCTTTAGGTAATAATGTTGTTGCATTGTATGTTAATGACCACCCTTGGATAATCCCACTCAAAAGTAATTGGTCACTTTCTTATATCTATGAACAGACCATACCTAGAGATATAGAGGAGCCACTATGACAACTACTACGAAGCAACTATGACAAAAATTTTGAGAAGGTCCATTCAACATACGCATGCAGCAAGATTTAAAATTTCGTTTTTCACCTTGTGGCATATGCCTGAACCTCGTCAAATGCATTCTGCCACGCATCAATTTTTTTCAAAGTAAGGCACTATATTATCTAAGAGCCAACTGTGCAAAAATCGCTGCTTTTGTTTCACTTTTTTTTTTTACTATTATATCAGAAAACGCCACCTGGTGACAAAGTATTTCCTCATAGCATGAACAGACCGTACTTCTCATTTTCGCTTGATTGTTGGGAATGCCGAATAGTCTATATTTCTTACCCATTAGTTAAGATTTATGGCTATTTATATTATTTCGCTGGAAAGTGTTTTTACCCTCAGAAGGGACAAAGTAGTTGTTCGAATTTTGACCTGCAAGCATTTGTTTCCTTACCGTATATTTTATTCCAATTTTGTAACTTCCGTATTCTCTCTCTCTCTTTTTATATCTATATCAACTCATATATTCATATATTCATCCTGACGAATGCTCCTTACATGGGATTTTTGACTTGTTTGTTGAGACGGAATATAAGAAAAAAGAAATGCAGCTTCTTTACTGCTATTGGCCACAACTGCCACGATCATTCGGCCATTTTCTGGGAGAAAGAAATGCAGGTTATAATTAACGCTGCTGCTAGTGCTTCTTTTTCGGTATCGTTCGATCATTTTCTTCCTTTTTCCCTTACCTACTCCTTGCCGCGAAACCGCGAATGTTACTTTTTAACATTCTGTGTCGCAGCAAATGGAATGGGCGCCGAGATTTTGCGCGAAATGCATCGCCCAGCTAGTCAGATACCTAACGCAGCATCCCCGCGGTATCCGAGCCGACGACATGCACCTGATAGGGTACAGCGTGGGGGCCCACATCTCCGGTTTGGTTGCCAACTACCTCGATCCTACGCTGGACGGCAAAATTGGACGGATCACCGGCCTCGATCCGACCATCTTCTTTTACATGGGACGCAACTCCTCGAGAGATTTGGATCCCACGGACGCCCATTTCGTCGACGTCCTGCACACCGGCGCCGGCATTCTCGGACAGTGGGGCCCCACCGGCCATGCAGACTTTTACATAAACGGGGGCTCGAGTCAACCCGGCTGCGGCAGCGATACCGTGTTTAGTAAATATCCTTCGTTCTGGTTGGTTTATCGAACACAGCATATATTTTTTTGAAATGCAAAGGGCACTTTTCAAAAAGGAAATAGCGGAAGGAACTGTCTAAAAACTTGTAGAATTTTAAGCGGTTTGCAATACTTCAATCTTACCCCAATAACAAATGCAATCTGTTGTCTTTTATCATTTCTATCAAAATATTGCTATATAACTAGAAAAGAAAACACTTTTTTGTAATAATTTTATAATAATAATCAACATTATAAAAATGTGTTGGTCGATTTTGTCAAATTGACACAAATCACAGAATTGTTGCAATTAGTTTTGGGCTTAGGCTACTATTTGGCAACGTTGGCAAAGTATTTATGAAAGATAAACTAACATTTATTACGATCATGTATGAGTGTGGGAAAATTTTGTTTTTTGGTAGAGCAAAACTTCTAGTAAGACATTTATATGTTTATACTTTATGAGGGGTATAGAATTAAAAAAATTCCACTATTCATGTTGCATTGCTCCAAACATGACATAAGTTTTGGTTAGTTATGGGTCGGACTGCAGTGTCCAAATCATGTATTTGTGGTATCTGTAAATATGAATTTTGTTAATGACGTACGGACGTAAGCACTGTACTGAATATTAGAAATTAATCCTGATGTGTGGTACAAAATATATCGAAATCTCGCTTTAAGTGACTCTTCGAGTCGAATTAAAATAAAGAAGTTAATAATTATTTAAACATATTTTCCGTCGTTACTCTTACTATTTAAAAAATGCTACTGACTGCTCATGCTTCAGATAAATTTCACCGTTTTGACGTAATTTTGAATGACGTTGATGTTTTCAGAGACCGTTGCCTGCGACCACACCAAAGTCACACCCTATTTCATCGAATCCATCGTTACCAAGAGAGGTTTTTGGGCGTACCCTTGTCCTACTCTCATAAGCTTTATGCTGGGCTGGTGCCATCCTGAAGAAGACGAATACGTCTTAATGGGAGAGCACATCACTCACAAGTAGGTATCACGGGGGTAACTGGCGGCCAATGTGGTTCTAAAAGATATGGCGTTTCCCAGAGCCAGGGGCGTTTATTACGTCAGGACCAACGCTGATCCGCCATGGGCTCAGGGACCTCCCCGGGAGCTGAAAGAGAAATTCGCGGAAACAACTTCCCCCATCCTACGGATGCTGACAAATCAGGTGCAACGGGGATGATTTCTTTTATCTTTCGATGGCATCAGTTTAGGTTATGTTAGGTATAGCTGTGATTTTAGCGGTACAATTAATAAATAGATTTTTTTAAAAATTTGACGGTTTTCAAGTAATTTTACTTCCTGTTACTAATTATGCACACTACAAAACAAAAAACGTGTATTACCCATATCACGTTATACCAATTCATGGTAATGGGGGACCGTCCCTGGCAATGTGGCTTAGCGTATGGTAAAAGAAAAAGAATAGAGAGATGAGGGTCTCTGAGGTGAACAAGTAGCCAGCGCTACTTCTGTTATATACTGTTTTGATGTATACTGAACGTTATTAAAAAGCGAATTTTGTGTAACATATTTATTTCCGAAAAGACGTTTTAACTCTCACACAGAATATCTGAAAACGTGAATTACAACTATAACGCAAAATATAGCTATCTAATGGTACGGAATGTTCCCGAACATCAGTTAATATGCTCGAGATGTTTTAGTTTCGTTTGCAAAATAGGCCATTACGTCATTAACCACAACAACAGAATAAACTTTTGGTAACCAAATGCCTTTCATTTTAAAAACTACATGTCTATTAGAGGTACTATTAGCCGGTCTTTACAATATATGAGGGCTAATAACATCAAAAATAGATGAGCTGTCCTTTACAACTCACACAAACCTACATAACTTTCTTTTACCACATACACGCAGGCTAATGATGTCCTAAATATGTTTTTCTAAGACCCAGATGGTAGGAGGGCGTCTGAGACTGCGTTGTACCAAAACTACAGCCATCTCAGTGATATTTGCATAAAAAATTAACACCTGCCGGTAATTTTTCTCAGCGAAACTGTAGCCCGAGAACACCCCGTGTAACAATAGAATCGGGTTCACGCGAGTTCGGGAAAAAACGGCGAGAAAATAATTTCCCTGGCTCGCACACGTATTACATTTAGATATGCCATTATTAAAGTGTCTCGCTATGATTAGGGTATTTTTTTGTATATTTTCAATATATTTATTGCCGCTACACTAGACGAGGACTCCCGGATGACGTTTTCGCCGACTTTTATGCGGGAAAACTTGTCATCGCGTCCTCAGAAAGCAACGAAACCACAAACCAAAGCGCAATAAACGTTTAAAACGAGAACCGAGGACGTTAAGACACGGTTGTACAAGCAATGGCCGAACTGAAGTTCTCGGGGTTGCAATGATGGTGGTTTACAGCATTAAGTATGTTGTAACATTATTTGTTGCTTTCGAATGTTATTGGCAAAGGTCACAAACGAAAATGAAAAAAGTACGAGTACTCAAAACCTAACCTTCTATTGTTGGCCGAATGATCCCGGCAAGTTTGCCCAATAGCAGTAAAAAGTATTGTTAATTGTTTGTTTTTTATACGGAATAAAACAAATAACGGAGGCAGAGGTGAAAGTGTTGCAAAAATAAGGCCGGTTTCTGCATCTTAAACCTGGTTTAGTGTCTAATCTACCCGCCATTTTCTAAAGTAATGAATATTTGAAAATAGTCAACAATTCTCCACTGAAACTTTTAAACCACAGACCAGTGCGAACTCCACAGACGAGCGCTTACACCCGGCCTTCTAGTAATTATTACACAACATTTGCACGTGGACAGCGCCCCTGCAGTGACGAAATGCTAAACAAAATCATTTACGTAACATTATTTTAGCGTCTTTGACTCTCCATTATTTTTTCCAGGAAGCACGCAGCTGCAGAATATTACGCTTACTGCTACGTACTACATACCACTTTTAACGGACAACGAACTAACGTTATTACTTTTGTTTTCGAAATTCGTCCAGCTTCGAGATTTTAGCGTTTAAAATATTAAAAAAGGTTTATTTTCAAAATACGACAATCACACGAAATATTCACGGTTAATTACTAACCTCAAACGGATCCCAAGGAGTACGTAAACATTTCCCGATAAAGAACTAAACGGCAACGCCGCTACGATGCGCGCGCCTGGCATTTCCCAATGATGCAAAACAAACCAGTAGTTAGAAATAATTATTCGGACCCTATTTTGTGATACGCATCGAGAGCTTTAAAAGGTCTGGCACGTATCTCCAGAGAAGAGCCGACGAATACAATACTTAAATGTTACACCTTAAAACTAATATGGCGGGCGGTTATTCACCCGGCCATAATTATTGTCTGCACAGCCCGAGGCGTCTAACCTCAAAAATACTTAACAGTTCATTTATTCCATTAATGTTATTATTGTTACGTTTACTTACGGACTACGGTTTTTTATAAGTAAACAAAGTCACAATTGCGAATAATATTGTCAAAGAGTTTGGCGGCAAAGGAAACATTCACCCTTTTATTGCACGATCATTATATAGGGCGTTGCGAAAAGTTGGTCCTAATATTTCTACATCGTAACTTTCTGGTTCAAATCTCTAGCCATCTCTTCGGAACGCCGCGTAATTTTTTTAAAATCCGCCCTTTTTTTTGTATTCTATCTACCGGATACCTACTAATTTTAAAACACCCCGTATCTTTTTTGTTTTTTATACAAGGACGAAATAGAATACTCTTTAGTAGGTATGTACAAATTGACAACGTTATCTAAATATACCTTAGACAGTGCCTCGTCTAACAGTTGCGTACTTACGTCTACATACATTTACTGGAAAAATAGAAATTCGAATATCCTGGGGGTGGGAGGCAAGAAAACCTTTTCACCCCTTTGATTTCAATTGAAAAACACGTCAATGCACATTCTAGAAATATTTTATCTAGGGACATTGTGTGAAAGAGGGAGGAGTCTGAGCGGTCGGCGTTAAATACCCGTGGTGGTGGGGCTGACGCGTGGTGTGACTCACATCTACTGGCGCGAAAAGAACAAACGTTGTAAATTTTAAGGCATGGCTTTGTTGCGTTAGATAACAAGTGCTTTATCGTCTTTTTTTTTCATTTATGTGCCTGTATTTCGTTAATTATTGTCGAAATTTCAGTACGAAGATAGTTGCGATTGTTCTAATTCCCATAAAAAAAAAAAATATGTGATGACTAGGACATATTTTCCGGGTCGGTAACTTTCAGGGATGCATCCAAACTCTAATATAATCTGTCTTGAGGGGTTCCGTGCATGTAAACGTCTTCGGGGGCGGGTTGTACCGTTTCTTGCCTGAACGGGTTACCCGAACTAGTCGCCGATGTCCTGAATGGGTTTCCTACAGGTACTACGGATCCTTGCTGCGAATGCTGCGACTCCTGGGACAGCGACCTCGGTGCGGGAGGTCTTGGTGGAACAGGTTTTGCCTGAGAAGCGAGGGAAGTCTCCATGGCGGCACCGTAATTGACGATGCCGCCTCCGCTGCCTTGGCGGGAAAGCAAACCGTTAAATTGACCTTGAACGACGCCCGCAGGCGGATACTTGGCAACAGGGACAGCCTCGTTCATTTGATTCCAGTGTTTCTCTTCTTCGACGGTTGGATCGGCCCACGGCTGGAGTTCGCCTGATGCGAAGAAACCGTAGAAGATGATACCTGCGTAGTGGATCATGGCGGACACGATAATAAGGATCCTCCATTCCTTTGGATCCTGAAGAAGAAAAAATACATGGAAATGGTGGACGGTGGGGTTTTATGGAATAATCTATGGTCAAATCAGGTTATGAAACAAATTCTAAACGGATGGTTTACAACAGTGTTTATTTCAGGGTTGATCTGGTGTGGTTGCAGTTGAACTAGTTCCAGAATATTATATAGTTAACAATTCTTCGAATGAAAACGCCAGAGTAATACGTGATCACTATCTTTACTGATATTAATTTACCCCTATAACAGAGTGTGCCAAGTGTCCTATTTTGAAGATACAAAGTTTCTGTTTGCATATTACTGTCCTACCTGTAGGAAATTGGGTGTAACCAGATTTTCGAGCACTAGGATAATTAACAACAACAAGAACACATCGAAAATGGGACACTCTGTGTATTACTTTGAATTACATTTGTGTGACGGTGACGGACTTACTTCTAAATTGACTATTGTTTAGCTCGAACAACATTAGGTAAATTTCTTTTTCTTTGAGCAAAGGTGTTGGAATTTTCCGCCATCGAACAAATACAAATTCTCAAAGAAAGTCGTCGATATTTGGTTGTAGAAACGGCTTTGCTTATCTACTTTCGAGTATATCAAGGGCAGTGTGCATTTAAGGTTCGTTTATTTGAAGCCACCCGGTATAAAAAAGCCTCCGTCAGTTGACTGGGCTTTGTTGGACAACTGAATGTGTTTCCCCCGTTCAAATTCGAATTCAACTCGCCTAATAAACACGATATTTCATATAAATTCGGACCCCAACTTTTCGCGGATGAACGGGCTCGTATTCGAACGAGCCCCCAGTATGCATGTCATTTCGCGGTTGTCGCCTCACAGATACGACGCCATTATTCTCTACGCGCGCATTAGAGCGAAGCTCTCGTACTATACAAGGCGTATCGTTGAGAGAAAGCCAACTAACCGACCGAAATGCACAAGTAAGTAAAAAGATTTTATTTTTCTAGGACATTTTTTTTTTTGGAAATATTTTCTTAACTCCTCTAGCGTCTTGTTTTAATTTCATTGACTTACGTGCTCGTTCCTGACAATAATCTTCTTCACTACCGGTACCAGGGCACCGGCGATGGTACCGATGCCGTTGGAGAGCCCCATCAGTATACTCGCATACCTGGGAGCGATATCCAAGTGGTTGACGTTAAAGCCGGATATCGCGAATCCACTGAACGCCACCCCTATCGTCAAGGCTGTCATACCCTGCAAGGTCGTGTGCGAAAACGCCATAGCCAGAAAGAACGTCGCCTCCAGACCGAAGCCTCCGCAGTTGAACAGCTTGCGCACCTGCGTCGTGTTGAGGATTCCTCTTTTCCTAAGTCGATCAGCGAGTATACCACCAGCTGGTACGACCAAAGTCATCAGAAAATGGGGCAGAGCGCCTAAAGACGCGTTCTGTAAAAAATGAGTAGTTTTCGGTCTACCAAGCGTACATAGCAGAAGAAGGGACACTCTCAGCTTCGCGTCGGACTAGTTATTTGATGGTAGATTTTTGTACATAGTTGCTCCCGCTTACCTCGGCAGTGGTACTCCTAAACGCTTGGGAAAAGTACGACGGCTGAAATATGACCAGCAAATAAAAGTTCCACGACCTGCAAAAGTTGGCGACGAAGATGGCGTAGCACGGCAGCGAGGTGAAGAATTCTTTCCACGGGGTGTTGGTCAGGTTCGGGGCGACGTAGTTTTGCTGGGTACCGCCCAGGGACTTCTCGATCATGATCAGTTCTTTGGGGTCTATACAGGTGTGGAGGGATGGTCTTTCAAACACCAGCCACAACCACGCCATGTACCAGATTAAACCGACAATTGAATAGAAGTAGTAGGGAGCCATCAGACTGATGTTGTTCATCAACAGTCCGCATATCATCATGGAAAACATAATTCCGGCATAACAGCCGCTAAATGCTATCGTTGCTAGGCGCGAACGTTCGAGAGGCGGAGCCCAGTACCGCATTATACCGTGGCAAGCTGGATATGTCACGCCCTGTAGAATATGTCAAGTTAAGACTTCAAATTATAGCGGGCACACCTTGTATTCAAATCTGTAGAAAAGTTAAAATTTTCAAGTACCTCGACGAGACCTTGCATCACTTTGACTATTATCAATCCGTTGGGGTAGTCGTAGAGACTTGGTATGAGGAAATTCAGCAGGCAGGAAGTTCCTATCGCCGCTCCGAATAGCTTGTTGGCAGGATACGCTGCAGCTATTAGACCTCCGGGTATCTGGGTGACGAAGTAACCCCAGAATATGGCGGATTCGACCTCAGCCGTGGTACCTTCATCAGTTTCCGTGATGTTCAACTGAAAATGTTTACTTTAATTTTGCTCTACGGTTGCCGACGGGGCAACTGTAGGGGAACTCGCGTCCTAGCTTTCATTTTAAGCACAACCAATCAAAATTCTAAGTTATTTCAGGTTATGAATATCGAACGAGGCATGCACCAAAACTCGATACTACTTAGTCGGGAGCTTACCCTAGCTCTTTCCGCGTTGACCATACCCATAATGCCCCTCATGCCGAACATGATGATGAAACCCACGCATGCCAGCAAAGCTACGGTCGCCCTTCGCGAAAGACATGGAATTTCCGCATTGACGTACCTGCGGAAAGAAGAAGTCGTTTACAGGCACCTCAATTCACCAGGACCATAAATATACTCGTCGATTTTCCTAAGCGGTGGCCGTTGGTATTCCGGTATGCTGTCGACGCTGATATCATCCGCAACCTCGCTGGTCCCCCTCTTCAATGAGTTGTCGAAACTGTCGTTGGTTTGCCTAAAACGAATCCATGTAAATTTCAAACTTGGCTAAATGAAAACGTTTGTGATTCCTTGTACGTGACCGGGCACCGACGAGGCTTCTTATTTGCAAATCCCCCTCCCGCACGGGCATATCGAATACAATATTTGGGGGAAGGGACATGAAAAACATTTTTCAATTTCAGTTTCTGTGAGTTCGACAAACACGGCACGTGGCGATTTTGCTTTGTGACCGGGTAATTTCGGTGAAGTCAAAGATGACAGCGTTGATTTTGTTTAATATTACAGACACGACAGAACACGACGACGATAATGTGAATCAAACGGCATTTTTGATTGCCGCCTGAAAATTTTTTTGAGTTAACAGAATCAAAAGTCGAACGCCGTTGCAGTTCGTTGTTTGGAATCTTGAAACTGCAATGTACTTTGTTCAATAATTAATTTTTAGTATAAAGTGATGTATTTTATTATGAATAATGAATAAAAAGGTGCGGGTAAAGTTGGTTCGTGGTAGTTGGGTTGCCCCTTTTTATATTTTTTGCGATCCGCACTTTAAAAGAGTGTTTGTCTCGTTCGTGTTTTCTTTGTAGGTTTGTTTTTCTATTTAACCATTAGTTTTTGGGTACACTTTTGCAAAACAACACGAATACATTCACTGACATGATCGTCATAATTGACAAACGTCGCAATCCAAGCCGTGGGAAATATCTGCGAAACCATCCGATGGCTCCCAAACCCGTGCGGTAATATCCTGGAAATGTCCGAACTGGCTCGGCGAAAAGCCTTAGGAAACAAAACTGACGTGGCAAAATGCATAATTGGATATTTTAGAGAAGGGAGTAGAAAAATCTAACCAAAAAACTTTTTAAGTCAAATACCATTGATTGACTTGATATATCATTTCATTCTAGAGTAGTGAAGTAAAATAACTTATTTAAGATATTCAAGGTTCTAATGTATGTTTTCATCTATCTTAAAAGTAAAAAAAATCTAGAAAAAGGAAAAAAAGTAACTCTCGGACATTTTTTATTGCAAGTTTGACACGCTGTATCTAGGAATAGTATATTATGCAACAAGTGCGATAAACGGCATTTGACTCACTAGTTTAATTGACACGAGCGGAGCGAGTTTTTAAGTTAAAAAGTTTACCGAACGTGTTGCATACTATACTTTTTCTTCGACCGTTAGTTTTTAGTTATATCTTTGTATACGAATACATTCACTGACATGACCGTCAAAATTGACAAACGTCCGATTGCTCCCAAATCCGTGCGGTTAAATCCCGGAAATGTCCGAAGTGGCTCGGATCCGTGGGAAACGAAACTGACGTGGTAAAGTGACGCTTCCCCCACGCTATATCGGTGGTTAATTAGGTATTTTACAGACGGGAGTAGAAAAACCCTTTGACCTATGGTCATAGACCCTAAAATCAAGACCTCAATTTATAAGGCAGATCTAAACCTATCATTCTTTTTTTTTTTTTCGGAAGCGTGTCCACGAAAGTACTAAAAGGCTACCAAAGACAAAATATTTGTTTTAGTTTAATAAGGACAATATTTGAGAAATAAATCAAATGAGTCAAAATTTCTGACTTGAAAATTTAAATTAAATTAATTGAGAAAGTATTGAAAGAGTTTTTATTGTTATAGGTTTTCTGGACATGACAGTGACGAATTCGAAGCTTATTTGGTGGACAAATCGAATTTTTTTTTTATTAATATTACCAAAATTGTTATTGGTAAGTACTGTTTTTTTTGCTCTTCGTACTTTTTCATTCTTTCAATTTTAAATCAGAAAAACCATCACGAGCTTTTTAAATGTATAGAAGTGGAAAACCGACAGAGTTAGACGGCCCAACTGGCCTTTTTTATAAAAAATTAAACTAGACAGATGAAAAAAATAATTCGATTTATCTAAATAATACAGTGAAACTAGCGCTCTCCAGGAGGAACTTGAAAATAAGTTACAAATATATGCTATACTATTACTATAAAAAATTTCTCAATTAATAAGAAAATTTTAAATTTAATTTAAACTTTGAAACCAGTGACATCTGCTTGAGGCATGTTGAGCTCAATCATAACGTTTTGTTGTCTAGTTTCTCCAGTTTATAGAAATGTTCTTGAAAAATTTGCTAAAACCTAAATTTTATTTTAGTTTGTAAATTCCTGGACCTGAGGAAATAAAAACACGCTCAGGAAGGGTTGCTTCGATTATTTTTTAAATATAATATCCATCTTCGGGTTACCTCCTCCCCTCCAAGCGACTTTCGACGTTTCAAATAGTAATTGGTTTGTGTCACGGCGTAACCCCATCATTTGCAACGGCGTCCCGGGGCGAGACACTCGTCGCCGAATTGTCACGATACATTTATTAATGTCGGGGGAGGTGGGGGATTTCTCAGTGCTGTACCCGCGGGCACCGGGCTGGTCAAATTTTAAAGATTTACCCACGTAAAATTAATATAATTATAATTTTATTATGTTGCCCTCTAAGCGAGCCGTATACAACACATATGATTAACGAATGCCTTATATCTTCCTACTTGCCACTGACCTGGAAATAAACGGAAATTATTTCCTTTCGAAAACTAAATAATCCTTCGGAATCCATTCTCAAAAATTCTGGAGATGGATCCTCAATCAAGGCATTTTATTAACGCAAATAAAATATTACCCGGAAAGTAGACAACAGGGTCGTCAGAGATAATTTCTTTAACAAGTGTTTGCTAGACTTTAATAGCACATTTGAAATGGTCAACCATATCTTTTATTTCCTATGGCATGCTTACTAGGGTTAAATTATATAATTACATAGATCTAACTCAGCAAGTCTGTACACTTAGTATTTATCCTTGTCAAATTTATCTGTCACGTAAAAATCTTACGTTTCATCTATATGCCGATGACACCAATTTGTATAACCATTTTGATTGTACTAACTTCTCATTAAACTAATTTCGATGACTGTGTCGACAGCCATTTACTTAAAATTAATCCCACAAAGATTTGAAAATGGCTTTTAGATTGAAAATTAAGAAAAAATTATAAAAGTTGACCCGCCATTGCGATTTTCCGATTCATGTAGAGTTCGAATCCTATTTATATACTATGAACTTAGATTTCGAGAAGACATTACTCATAGGCTTATAAATAAAGACATTGACCACTGTCTTCACTCAGTACATAAGAGACGTACAAAAACTTTAAAACTTGTGACTAAGGGGGTCAAGGGGTGTGAGGCTTGTCACCGTATTTCAAATTACTTAACAATTTAAGAATAATTTAATATGCATCTTTTTCTCCATCCATAATAATTTCCGACTAATTCTAAGTGTATTCAAGTGTAGACACCTCTCATGAATTGAAATTAGATAATTTCGATTAATTAAATTACTTATGAGTGTTTTTACTATTTGCCACGCTATACCTCTTTTCTTCGTTATTTAACTCCACTTTATTCATATATATATATATATATATATATATATATATATATATATATATATATATATATATATATATATATATATATATATATATATATATATATATATATATATATATATATATATATATATATATATATATATATATATATATATATATATATATATATATATATATATATATATATATATATATATATATATATATATATATATATATATATATATATATATATATATATATATATATATATTCTCACGTATTGATTCACGGATGGAAAAATGTGATGACACTATATTCCGGGATATCATCCGTTCGCTCGTTGAACTCTGACTGGAATCCTGCAAATCCTGCATCTGACTGGAATCCTGCAGACGTTTCGCCAAGTGTTTTCGGAGCGCGAGCATTGAAGATGCCAAGTGAGATTTTGATTGAAGATGCCAAGTGAGATTTTGGCGAAACGTCTGCAGGATTCTAGTCGGATGCAGGATTTGCAGGTTTCCAGTCGGATGCAGGATTCCAGTCGGAGTTCAACAAGCGAACGGATGATATCCCGGAATATAGTGTCATTATATATATATATATATATATATATATATATATATATATATATATATATATATATATATATATATATATATATATATATATATATATATATATATATATATATATATATATATATATATATATATATATATATGAATATTTTATTTAGCTTTGCCATCGGATATTTTGTATTTGAGTGTAATGTGTTTACGTAATATACATATTATTAACATTATTACTAATATTTTTCGTATTAATTTTAATGTTTGACACCGCTTTTAGAAGCGAATAATAATATCTCAGGAAATTAATTGATATGCATTTTCCAAAAAACAAACAGAAATTTAAAATTTTGATATCGCCACCTGGCGATTCGCATCCACGATCACTCGTTGGCGGCTTGGGGAGTTAGTACGCCCCTGCGCACGGATACCCTTCCCGCTGATGACTAAAATACATTAACATGGTAGTCGGCACAACGCCGAGATAGTGATTACGTATTACCAAACGGCGTCGCGCATTACGTACGTACGGCAGCGGTGCGGGGGGCGTTCTAGGGGGGACGTTTATCATAAAAACGTTTTAAATCTAATCGCCCTAAATGCGTCGTGATGTCGACAGCGACACGCCACTATCCGGTTTTCGTCCGAAACGTAGTCATTTGGACCCCCCTCCCCCTGATCTTAGCGATTAGCATCGAATGATTTTTAAATTGACGCTAGTCGCTCCGAAATCTGGGCGGTAAATAATTCGACATCCCCCCGCACCCTCCGCAGAAGCGATTACAGCAAAAACACCTAATCCGGAGTTTGCTTTGGTTTCTTCTAATCCGGCCATTTGCAATTTCGGCACGTACTTCAAAATCTCGGCGAGCGCGCGACATTAAAGGAAAGTGATAAAAAAAACGGGGCGAGGTAATTTGGTCAATAAGTTTCAATTCTTCGTAATTGGTCAAAAGGATGAGCAACAGTCTCGTCATCGGAATAGCGGTTGGGAGTTCTTTGGGGGAAACACAGAT